TCTCTCTCGCCTGTCTCTTCTCTCTCGCCTGTCTCTTCTCTCTCGCCTGTCTCTTCTCTCTCGCCTGTCTCTTCTCTCTCGCCTGTCTCTTCTCTCTCGCCTGTCTCTTCCTCTCTCTCTCCTGACTGTCTCTTCCTCTCTCTCCTCTGACGGTCTCTCCTGGCTCTCTCTTCTCTCTCCTGACTGTTTTTCCTTACCTGCACTGCAGCAGCTTCCCGGCTCTTCTCTCATGTGCGCTGTCCTGTCCTTTTGCAGTGTTTGTCTGGCCGAATGTGCCCAATGCTGCAGACTGGGAGGGGCGTCCCACCCCTTCCCGCCTGCAGCGTCTGACACATTCGTCTGCATTAGCATTACGGGAGGGAGCTCAGGACAGTGAGCCGATCACGATCTACCAGTGTTTGCTTTGCAATCGGTAGATCGTGATCGACCTAAAGGGCACCCCTGCTTTAGAGGAAAGTTATCAAATTTTCTTGCAGTCACCAGAATTGGCTATTTGCAAAGCTACGTCTTTCCACAGGACCAGCTGGCTTGAATTTCAGTGGAGAGTCAGGCCTGTGGTAGGAGCTCTCCTGGCTTAACTCTAATATACAATATATTTTGAAAAAACTGCCTCAAGGAATAGTTCTAGCCAGCCTTTATAATGCACCCAGGCAGTGCCACTTCCTAAGGTAAGGGACTCCTCATCGGGTTTTGGCACTTGGACTGTAGTCCAAAAACCTTATTGCATGATTATGAATATAATATGTTATATGGTTTACTATATGGTGTATGTGGACAAACCTCTAAACTATTGAGTTCAGTTGTTTCCAGTGAAGTGGTGTTAATGCAAGTGTATACAAAAGGCATTTTGAACTGTGCCCTTCCAACCTTGTGGCAAAAATTTGCCACACACCTATTTGAACTTGTTGGACATCCCATTCCAAAACCATAACCATGCCCTCCCCCCTCCTTTACGTAGTTACAAATCTACTTACAGGCAGGTGGGTGAACACTGCAAATGTGTTGTTGAGGAAAGCAACAAGGTCCACCAGATAATCACTGGCCCTCTCACTGGATTCTAGGGTCATCCAGTTGTAGTCAGCCAGTTGAAGGAACTGGTCAATTTTCTGGTTCAGGTTGGTGTAAATCTCTTCTTCTGCAGCTTGCCGGGCATCCTGCAAAGGACAAATGCCAGTTTTAGTAAGGCACGTAGAATGGTCCACTGACACTTCCGTGCTCTGACCCAGTCACTTATTGAGCCTTACTCAACACAACAGGCTAATCAGATTCTTCAGAATGTCTGAGGTTTCACACTGCACATTGCTGTTGGAAGCTTGAAGGTACAATAAATTCTAATCACTCAAGACAGATAGTCACCCTCCCCCCCCCATGTAAAATGCATATATATTGCCTTCCCTGGTTGCATCCAGACCACCCTAGGTAATGCCCACATGTGATCCTGAGCCGCCATAATTGAAAGAACTGAAATCCAATGAATGAAAGGGGCAGGCCAGGAAAAGTCGGACCGGGGAGGAAAGTGCGGGATAATGCTGCATGTCCTCCAGCCAGGAGATGAGCTGCTCTATCTGATTTGCTGCAGCTTCTAATGCACTCTGCAACTTATTTCAAAATGTTCCCTGTAACATAGTAAATCTTTACTTATTGAATTCAGGTCCACTTTAAGAGGCCATAGCTGAAATGTAAAAATGGCTCTGGAGCTTAACTGGTTAATATCCGTTATGTGACCACTTCCCCTCCCAGGACAAACACTCACCTTGAAGGTAGTCAGACCATACAGCTTGGTGGTGTGTACAGTCTCTGGCAGGACATTGGTAATATTAGTGATAAACTCTTCCAGGAACTTGCAGGAGATTTCCAGATGGGTGGTGTTGATGATAATCTGTACAAGCTATGAAATAAAAAGATATGCTTAGCGGGTAATGTAGTCATTTACAAAGTTAAAAACAAGTTAAAAAACAACTATAAATGTGAAGGGTAAAAATACTAGCTCCTTGTGGACACTCTTCTTCCTTGGCATGACATAAATGTCCGGGGAAAACACTTAGCAAGTCCACCTCAAAGTTAACCTGTAAGGCAAGACAGACTTAAAGGAGAACTATGAGGTGAGTGCTTTTCACTCACCTCATAGTTCTAGCCGACCTGTGACAATGAGACTGTAATGGCACATTGGGCATATTCCAAGTTGACAATGCCAGGATTCAGCGGGCTCAGATTGTGAAAGAGTGGCTCAGGGAGCATGAGACATTATTGTCACACATGGATTGGCCACCGCAGAGTCCAGACCTGAACCCCATTGAGAATCTTTGGAATGTGCTGGAGAAGACTTTACGCCGTGCTCCGACTCTCCCATCATCAATACAAGATCTTAGTGAAAAATGAATGTAACTCTGGATGGAAATATATGTTGTGACATTGCATAAGCTCACTGAAATGATGCCACAGAGAATGTGTGTCGCAAATCAAAGCTACATATTAGTGTGTGACTTGGTTTGGCCAGGCAGTGTATTTAGCACGATGTTGCTGGGTTCCTATGAAGCTGCAGGAACATGCTCAGAGACTAGACTGTGCCCCTCGTACAACCAGTTGGGTACCACTGCTGCAGGTGCCCACTGGAGACATGTGCTAAGAGAGAAGCCCAAGTTTAAACCGGTCACAGAGAGCAGTAGTAGTGCAGGTATTCAGCCTGAACAGATAGTGATCCGGTTATATGTTCATCAAGTCACGTCACGTGGGCTACGAGAGGAATGTACAAACAGACGTACTAACAACAAACTAGGACAAAACACACACATGCAAGAAACCTGGACATGCTTGGACAGCAACCAAAGTATCCTTGTTCTACTGACTGCCTGACAGTTTAGACCCACAGGCTTGTCACCCTTCAATGACGTTCACTGTGTAACACAACAGCCAATAGCTACCAGCAACCCAGCCCGGGCTGATGAGACTCAGCAGGTCAACATGGTACTGGGCACAGGTCAGCATTGCCAGTCAGCAAATTCTGTGATGCTTTATAGACGCAGTGGTGAGACGGCTCCTTACAGGTCTGTCATTATTCCAGACATAATTGTCGGGATCTGTTCCGGCTGCGGCGTCTCAGTATATCGCAAGCTGTAGCTCGCGGTATACTGAGCTTAGGGTGACGGGAGGACGCTAGTTTGTGTCCTCCCGTTACCCGAAGGAGAACTATGGGGAAAAGCCCTGACCCCATAGTTCTCCTTTAAAAAAGAAATGGCATTTACCCAGAATTCCTTTCTCCTCTTTAAGTGGCTTATTTACATAAAGTGCGTCTACTCGTATACCGTGTTTCCCCGAAAGTAAGACCTAGCACTATCTTCAGGGATTTCTGTAATATAAGACCTACCCCGAAAATAAGACTTAGTTCGGTGGTAGGTCTTATATTACAGAAATCCGCTAGGTCTTACTTTCGGGGTAGCTGCACATAAACTGAATTTTGAATCTAAAGACCGGCCACAGCTCCCGCCCCGCCCACAGGCCCGCCCACACCCCAGCCGGCCGCAGCTTCCGCCCCGCCCACACGCCAGACGCAGCTCCCGCCTACACGCCCGACGGCCGCAGCTCCCGCCCACACGCCCGATGGAAACTGAATATCATCAGCCGACACCGGGACCGGCAACAGCACGCCGCCTTCCGGGACCTCGTCCGGTCCTCCCCCAGCCAGGTAAGACATCCCCCGAAAATAAGACCTAGTGTCTTTTTTCGTGCAAAAAAAAAAAATAAGACACTGTCTTATTTTCGGGGAAACACGGTACGGCCGTGTGAAATAGCTCTAGTGATTGAGCAGAATGTTAGCATACGGTCAGGTTTCTCCTCAGCATGGCTGACACTTGCAATTCTGCAATGATCTACGACTTCCTTTAGAACCTGCATTGGCTTATAGGAAGGGAAGAAAACCGTAAAGTGATATTAAAGTCAAAAGGTTTTTAAGTGATTTCTAAAGCTGGTCAAATCGCTTACAATGGATGCCGCTTCTAAATGTTTAAAAGTTTTCATTTCTTGCAGAATCAGCTGGTCCCCTGTGCACTGGTCCTGATATCCTGTTCTAGGGTGACTCCTTTCCCTTGCAGGGTCCTATGGAGTCACTCTTGTGTGTGCCAGTAGCTGTGTGTGTCTCTACACAAATACACAGACACAACAAGGCAAGACACTCCGCTACTCCCCTCTCTTCGCTTCTCCAAGCTAGTAGATAGACAGTTGCTGGAGACTGTGTTCCTTGTGATCCTTTCCCTTGCACGGTTCTATGGCGCCAGCTTGTGTGTGCTAGTAAGCTGTGTGGGTCTCTACACAAATACACAGACACGGCAGGGCAAGCCACTTTCCTGCTCTTTCCTTCCCTAAGATAGCAGATAGAGAGCTACTGGAGACTAGTGATGGGCTCGGGCATATTCGCAGCTCCACGTGCCGAGCCCGCCAGGAAGCTGACAGCTTCAATCACAGTCACTGAGACATTTTCCAATCTCTGCAGCTGCGGACCTGGAAAATGTCTCAGTACCTGTGATTGGCGCTGCGCGCTGTCAGCTTCCTGGCACGTGGAGCTGCGAACACGCCCGAGTCCATCCTTACTGGAGACTGCTGTGTCTTGTGATCTCGTACTTGACAGGAAGTTCAGGGAAGTGATGAGCTCCTTGGTTCCTTGTTCTGCTTCTCCCTCTCCCAGTCTGAACGTGGCTGCACACAGGATTGGATAGCGGCTGATTTAGGCACTTGCACTCCTTGAGTTTATTAATACGTGACTTGCATTTATTTTGAAATACCGAGCGGCGTTAAATAATGTCTTTTATATCTGACCGGCGTTCAGCTTTAAGGAACTGAACTCTATAACCCAGTGGGTCGGACAATGATCACATAAACAGATGTTTGTGTTCAAAGCCTTCCTGTTATTTGCAGACTTTAAGATCTTACGGTTTGCAAAGTGAACAATCGCATACAAAGTGCGACCTGTGACTAGGCTATAGACATGAAGGAGACTGCGAGGCGTTGCTGGTATGAATAGGATGCGCTCGAATGGCAGACAGCAGAGCGAGGGGATGTCTGTGGCGTCCTTTTCTCCATCCCAGCAGCAATCAGGGGGCTATTGTCCCGGCGTTCTTTCACGGCAAGGAGAGCATTACAAGCTATGTGCGGAGTCCATCCCAGAGAAAACACAGCCGGGGGAAGACGTGTGGCAAACAGATGGCAGAGGAGATCCCGAGCGTTCAAGCGGCGTGCACAACTTTACGCCTGACCAAAATCGTTAGGTGGCTGTCTGGTTGCCGAATAAACACGCGGTGCTGCTACAAACACGGGCCTGACACGCCAGGGCTCCCGCCACAGGGGATAACTAGAGTTCAAGGTTCCTCTACATGTAGGTGGGTGGAGGAAATGGGGCTTTCCCTGCACAAATCAAACATGAACTCTGTCTGTATCCCAAATAACTTGAAGGGAATGCAAAGGCTTGCCAATGTTTTTGTTAGGTATACATGTTTAACGTACATGAAATAATCCAATCCATTCACGTTAACACTTCCAAAACCTTGTGTGTATATGGAGTTCATTATCACAATATACAGAGATAAAGGTTGTGGACACCTGACTATCACAACTAAACGAGTTTGTTCAACATCTCATTCCAGAACCACGTCTTTGTATGCTGCGGCATTTACAGCACCCTTCACCGGAGACACCTGAACTCAATCATTCGGAGGGGCAGCCATGTACGTCTGGCAATACGCTGCATTGTGAACAGGAGGGCAGCCATACTCATTACAAACCCAGCTTCTTCTTCCTGTTTTACTAGTCCTTCTCTCTCATAGTGCATGTCTATGATTCAGCGGACTCCTGAAAACAATGCACTCCCTGTGTGGCTGATATCCTACCTCGATAGCTGTTAAAGTGACACTAAACTTACAATTTAAATCTTACAAATACATTCAAGTACCCTAATTATTACCAAAAAATGTGATACATTAAATGGGTGGGTAAAGTTCCTCTTTAAGTGCCCAATGATTCTGCTTGTAGAGCCATTATTTTCCCACTTCCTGTAACAGGGTGTCAACAGTTTTCTCTGCAGTGAAACTGTACAGGGAAGTCTTCCATAGACATGTGGTTTTAAATGGACTTTAAGGCCAGCTGATATGTGTTAAAGTGACACTAAGCTGAGGCGTTAAAGGAGAACTATGAGGTGAGTGCTTTTCACTCACCTCATAGTTCTAGCCGACCTGTGACAATGAGACTGTCACAGGTCGGCTCAGTAGATCGGGAGGTGAGCGAACACATACCGGCGTTCGCTCACCTCTCGATCCTGTCACGGCTCTCTGCCGTGACAGGGGAGGGGCTGGATTCCCCCCTCCCCGCTCCGATCCTCCAGCGCTGACTGGCGGAACGGACGGGGGAGGGGGCGGGTACAGCTGGCTCTGCCTCTAGATAGGCAGAGCCAGCTGTCAGTCACGCAGCTGGGCGGATCCCGGCATAATTGTCGGGATCCGCTTCAGCTGCGGGGTCTCAGTATACCGTGAGCAACAGCTCGCAGTATACTGAGCCTAGGGTGACGGGAGGACGCTAGTTTGTGTCCTCCCGTTACCCTAAGGAGAACTATGGGGAAAAACCCTAACCCCATAGTTCTCCTTTAAACCTTAAAAATACATTGAAGTACCTTAACTAATAACAACAATGTATCTTATTTGTGTATCACTCGGCTGTAGGTCCTCAAATCATCGCTGAATTGGTGCTGACATTGTCTGGACGGCGACTACTTTTGTTCCCCATGGTCCCTGTGTGTGTTGTGAAGTAGTCACCGCTCCAAGATCACTCCTGTGATGGACTACAATCTCAATACAAATGAGTAAACTAAACATGAGATTGTAGTCCATCACAGGAGCAAGCTTGGAGCGGTGGCTACATTACAACACACACAGGGACCATGGGGAACAAATGTAGCCCCCCTCCAGAAGGAAGGACAGTGTCAGCACCAATTCAGAGATGATTTGAGGATCTACAGCCGAGTAATACACAAATAGGATACATTGTTGTTATTAGTTAGGGGACTTCAATGCATTTTTAAGATTTATCTCCTGAGTTTAGTGTCACTTTAACTATCGCTTTAAAAAGCACATAAGACATTCCATAATATTGAAAAAAACACCTCTTGTCTTTCTGTTGCAGTGCTTTCAGTGATGAGAGGTGTTTCCTAATTACACGAGATGATTCCACTATACTTCTGTGAATTGTATGCTGTCCTATGACTAGGGATGCACCGATACTGATTTTTCTTGGCACATTAACACCAATGAAGCGGTATAGTTGTCCATTATATTGATCTTTCAGTACTCGCCCATACCAATACAGGTACTTCCGCGAGCATGGAGCTGGCTTCCCGGCCAATCAGGAGGCCAGGCGGCGGGAATGACCGGGGAAGCCGGCTCCATGTTCCCTCGCGGCACTGTCGGTCAGAGGAAATCTCCCTCTGACCGGAACTTCCGGTATCAGGGGTAAGTATCGGAGCATTTGGTCGAGTATCGGTGCATCCCCACTTACAACCTTGCGAGCCCTTTACCCACCTCCGTAAGGCCAACATTCTTTCTCTTGATGACATTCTGAAGGCAGTTGCTGAGTGTTCGAGTCAGTAGTAAATTTGTGGATTTTCTGATCATGTCGTCCACTTCCGTAGAGCTGAAATATGACAAATACAAAAGAATGATACAAAACCAGGATTCTCTAACCACATGCATACAACACTTACAAATTACAAATAATACAGGAAACAATTATTACTCTTTCACTTTGAATGAGGGGAATGTTTAGTCATTTGCAGCCACAAGTAAAACCGCCCCTAATGGTCTTCTGGTCAGTCCAGTGACGTCAGAGGTCCTTCCTCTTCTCTTCCGGTGGCGGTAGTGAGTGGACCTTCCTCCTGCACTGAACGGCACTCATAAAAGGTTTCGGTACCATTCAGTGCAGTAGTACTTTGAGTCCACGCAGCTTAATGATACATCACAAGAGGGAGGGCCTGGACAGCCTGGGCTCAGAGGTAGTGTGATTATTACCACTGGCTGTCATTAAACCCTGAAAACTGGCGACATCTAGAGCCGTGGTTCTCAACTGCTGGGTTTGGGTCGTAACCCAAAAGTGGGTCAGTGTGGGCCTTTCACTGCGCTAGGTGAGAGGCTCCTCAGTCTCCCACTAGTGCAGCACTGTCAGTTCTTCAGCTGAGCAGCCATTCAAAATATACTGTCCAGTGCCGAGTGTCAGCTTAAGGAGGGGTGGGCTGGGGGTATGGCTGTGAGGGAGCTCCATCCATGCTTGCATTGCTTACTGCTCCTAGCTTGTCCTGTAGAGGTGCCTGGACCAGAATTCAGTCATATTCTGGCTCCCGGCTCCTGTACAGAGCACGCAAGTGAGCTGTATAAGCAATGCACATATGGATGGAGCTCCATCACAGCACAGCAGCCCACACTGGACCCCAGGCTGAGGATCCCCTCCAGTTCTCGTAAGGTAGGCAGACTGGGTGGAACTTAATATATATTATTTTTTTGGAGTGAGTGTGTGAGATTGTCTGTGAGATTGTGTCTGTGGTTGTGTGTGTGTGTTATGTGTTTTTGAGCGCCCGTTCACACTAGCACAGTGTGTTAATCACAGAGTCCTGTGCGAATAATGCACTCTACCATGCAATCTCACCTATTGCGCGTTCTGGTGTGGGAGGTGCTATGCATTGCCATTCGCATTGCCAACACCCCAAACGCACCTCCCACCCACAGTTCCATCACACGCACCGGAACCCGCGGTACTGCGACTTGGGTCACGACTTAATGACCCATTTCAAATGTGGGTCCGGAGGTTACACAGGTTGAGAACCTCTGATCTAGGGTACCTTCTGCAAGGGACAGCTGCTGCTTTTTTTACAAGCACCGAGCTGTTTACTTTTAACATTTTATCAGAACCGGGAATTCTGATTTGACTTAAGAGTATGGGTTACCACGTTTATATACCCGAACAGGTATCTTTATAAACATAGGTACTACTATTTGAGTTAAATATAGTGTTTTATTTTGCTTTATTCCTATACACAGTTATAATGTTAAGATATATACACCTGAATGTTCTCTCGATACTATATTCATATGTGAAAACTGCACAATTTACCTAATGCTATGATTCATAACTTTGATGACATTGCTTTATTTGTATCGATGCTTTACTAATTTCAATTAAAAAACCATATGCTAAAAGTAGGTACGGGTTACAACAGCAGAACACCACACCGGAATCCACTTTTGCCAACAAACAATGACGCCACAGTGATTTCAGGATCAGCAAAACTCAATGACTGAAGACTGGAAAAAAGGTACCTGACCTTTTTGCTATGACATACAGATGGAAAGTTCAGAATTTGCTGTGCATACCATGTATACAAATAAAATCACACAATGAAAGAGCGCCACTACTGTGGAGAGAACTCACGTTACTGTTGTCAGCATGTCGCATGTGAGCTGGTCTTACGGTGCCGGGAGTGGATGTAGAGGAACAGTCTGAGAGCTGTGAAGGGTAGTCGTTTGAACAACGCGGTCTCAGTTGGCCAGGCTGAGCCACGGGTACAAGAGTATAAGGCGATGTCAGTGCCGGACCGTTCGGGGACCTCAGGGGTCTGTGCGAGCGGTATCTCGAAGATGTCATAAACGAGGGAGGAGGAAAGAAATGGACAAGGATAGTGTCCAATGACAGCGGCTACGCGTTTCGAGGCTCTGCCTCTTTTTCAAGCCTAAGTCAGTGGTGCAGTAAAGGTGGCGGGATATCTTGCCAGTATTTAAATCTGACAGCTGGGAGGAGTCAACCGTTGTTCAAATAGATGTAATTGGTGGGGGAGTAACGTGAGTTCTCTCCACAGTAGTGGCGCTCTTTCATTGTGTGATTTTATTTGTGTATTCACAGGGTTCCTCTCCCTGTTTTAGTTAGAGCTTGCACACTGAACCCCCTTGCACACGTTTTTAGCGCCTTTAAAGGGTTTTTACCCAGCAGTGAGTGCGCTTTCGCCGTTTGTTGTATTTATTTGTTTGCTTTTAATACCATGTATCCATCCTTTCTTGTGTCCAGGGTTCAGGCTATGGATTTATAGGTGCAGGAATTGGTTTCTTGGCACATTAATACAAATTAAGCAGTATGGCTGTCCATCATGTGCTGGATAGATGTATCGAAAACAAGTGGCCACTAGCTGCATATTCCAATGGTGCATTTGTTATTTCGGATGGAGTTTCACAAGAGGCACATGATCTCTAATCAGGTATTGAGTTTGATTGCCGAGACAGATTCGAAGATTGCAATATGAGGCCTTACAACAGAATGACCTGTCTAAGGGCAGGCAGAGCACCTCCATGAATGGTGGTGGCGGCCTCGAAGTTCAAGCTATGCCAGCTATCCTGTAATTAGCTGAAGGGAGACAAGGCCATGACAGTCACGTCATGCAGGATCCCTGACATTCACACAGAAGTGGAATTCAGCTAAGTGTAATATCAATGAACGGAACAAAAGCCTGGCTAACGTAAGCTGCTTTGATCTGTCAGCAGCCATCTAGAAGGTCAGAAAGGATAAGCGGGGTTATCTCCTGAGGCAGGCCCCGAGATGGAGGCAGCTTACTCCAATATCAGGCAGAGGGCCCCGGGGTCATATGACCTTTTCACTCTTATCCTCCTGTAGCTGATAAGCGCTGGAGATTAGCCGTCTGGACATGACCTGGGAAAACACAAGAAAGCCTTAGCCACTTACCTGACACCACAACATGGGGGCTGGCGGGATCGGCTGAAGTGTCAGAGGAAGATCAATAGAGACATCATGTTACACAGTGACACCCCTGCTTCTAATGCTATGTGCCAGACACGGCCAGGGGAAGACAGCTGGGGTTCTATTCCACTAGCTGTAATAATATATGAGGAGAGCTGCCACAAGAAAGTCTAAGCTCATGAAAGTCATGAAATCCCTGAAGATGATGCTGTGCAGCTTGCAAATTGCTGCATGCAGCAGTTTAGGTGTGCATTCCATATGAGGCTATGAAAGGTGTCCGCCAAGCAGGGCATCCCTAGCTTTTTTGAGGTCTGAGACGACAGAGGGACGGGATCCCGCCAAACTCCTGGCAACCAGTGACATCAGCAAGAGCTTCCCAGGTTGCTAAGAGCTGGGCGGAAAGATGTGCATGGCCCTTACACATCTCCCTACCTGGCTCTTAGCATCCTGGGACGCTCTTGCCGGCAAGGGGGTGGCAGGCACACTTGTAAACACTGTGCAGCAGAGCGACCATGCCCTCTGCCTGCTGCCCCCACACGAGCCGACTGAGGAAACAGATTCAGGCTGCCTCAATATAGGGACAGCCCTGCCTCCAAGGACACTGTAGTACCATGCACCAGAGAGTCAAGGATCAATTGCCAATGGACCATACCAGTGAAATCTGAAATATGGAGGCTGCCATTTTTTCCTTTGAAAGGAGCAGGCTCTGGGGTGGCCACACTCTGTCTTCAGTACTTTGTGAATTGTTGTCATTGGGAAGGCCAAAGATTATAAACCCACCCTACATGATTGCCCCACATCAATGACCCCAACCTCAGCTTCATTCTTTAAAGTAGATGTAGAATCTAACTGGATGACATGAGGTTTTTAGATGGTAAGCCCTCAGGGGCAGGGCCCTCCTTACCATCTTGTCTTGGATTGTATTGTGATTGTAACGTCCTCCTTATATTGTAAAGTGCGGCGCAAACGGTTGGCGCGGTATAAATCCTGTATAATAATAATAAAAGACTAACATAAATCACGGCAATGCTCTTCTTTTCCAGTTTATTTTAATTGATCGCTTTGACATTTATTTTTCACCTTAAAGCCTATCTCAGGCAAACCAAAAAACGACCCCTGCAGTGGGGCTACCCATGCACTGCAAGGGTTAAATGCTCTTTTATGCCTCAGGGACAAGAAAAAGCTGTTTTACTTATCTGATCCATGCTCCTGCTGGCTCCCTCCGGATGGCTAGGGAGGTCCCTGCAGCCTCTTCTCCCCTTCGCTCCAGCAGTCTGAGGACCGCCAATGTCTAATGGAGGTTCCATAGATCTGCATTAGATGTGAGGATGCCGTGGGACATTCCGCCAACCAGAGTGTAGGGGAGAGAGGAGATCAGAGACTGGCAGGGGGGAGCAGGGATCAGGTAAGTAAAAGTGCTTTACTCCGGTCCTCTAGACATTGCAATTTACACACCTCTGCTTCACTTCCAAGCAAAGCACATGACAGGCGTTATGATCTAATTCTGCAATAGAGTAGGCCTGAACATTTAGAAATGTTAGAAAGAAGTGTGTCTAGGCAGCACTCCCTTCCTTGAATACCTCCTAAAAAAAATAGCAGTGTGCTTCCTGACAGTGATGGGTTACTCCAGTTCTATATAGTTGTAGATCTGCAGTGTGAGATCATCTAAGGCACTGCTCACTAGATTTGGTGATGTCACTACTGCTATGCTCATTATTCTCCTTGCTGGAGAGGAAGCCGTACCCGAGGTCATGCAGTGCAAGAATCTCCCTGCTTCTGCTAAGTTCACCTGTGCTTTCTCCTCTCCTCCAGCTGATGGTTGTCACAGCTGTCCCTGACATCTGAAATAAGGAAGCGAAGCCTTGCTCCTCCACCAAGATGGGTTCCTCCACATAGACACACCAGGCAGAACAAAGTTAGTCATTGGGAAAAGATCAGCTGCAGGGAGACCACAGGCAATACAGGTGACTAGTCCCGGGCACTTTGTGATTTTTCCGCACAGCTACCACAGCAACTTTGTGGCTTTCAATGTCCTTTCTCTGTCTCCAGCCTCATCACTGGACAATAAATGGACACCACTCCCTCTGTTCAGGTGGCTGACTAAGAAAGCAGTAAAGTTGACCCAGGAAACAGACATGATAAACCAGCACGTAGCAGAGTGATCTCACTGACTACCGCGGGTGTGTACCACAAGTATGATTGCCCAAATTATAAATCCTTCTGCGGGTGAATCAGTAAACATATGTCTCTGATTTGTATATTCAGCCATTTAGATGTAATGTGCAGCTTGAGAGCACATTCAAAGCGTCATGCCTGACATAAGCTCCTGATATGAATTATAGAAAGGCTTTCAAGGTTATTTACACCTTTGTGCCAGGTGCTTTTAAAAAATATACACCGATCAGCCCTGACCCATCGGAGCATGGACTCCACTAGACCTCTGAAGGTACGCTGTGGTATCTGGCACCAACCCATCAATAGCAGATCCTTTAAGTCCTGGAAGTTGTGAGGTGATCGGCCTCCATGGATCGGACTTGTTTTTCCAGCACATCCCACAGATGATCGATTGGACTGAGATCTGGAGAATTTGGAGGCCAAGTCATCACCTCAGACTTGTTGTGTTCCTCAAACCCGTCTTGAATCATTTGTGCAGTGTGTCAGAGCTCATTATGCTGCTGAGAGAGGCCACTGCCATCAGGGAATACCGTTTCCATGAAGGGGTGTACTTGGTCAGTAACAATGTTTAGGTCGGTGGTACGTGACAAAGTAACATCCACATGAATGGCAGGACCCGAGGTTTCCTATCAGAACATTGCCCAAAGCATCACACTGCCTCCGCTTGTCTTCTTCCCATAGTGCATCCTGGCTCCATCCCTTTCCCCACTTCCAGGTGACATTGTAATGAGATAATCAATATGATTCCCGTCACCTCTCAGCAGTCATAAGGTTATCCAAAAAGCACACCGACCAGCGTCAGAAAGAACCTTCCTCAAGCCGGGAATGCTTCACTCACTCCAGTAGAGGATGCCCTGTTTCAGTCAGGGGATCCAGAGGGCTGCATAAGAAACAAAGAACAACCGGGCCGCCTGAGGAAGGGGGCGTGTCCCCGAAAACACATTCAGCAGGGGCAGTGGGACTCTGAGGAGAACAGAGTTCCCTGAGTGTCTCCGTGATCTCTCCTTTGTACATCCACAGCAGAAAGGTCACTAAGGATCACTAGTCCATATGATGTTCCTAATCTAGGCTTCATTTGTGAGTATGTTTCTGTATACGATTTTAATCAATAAAAGGTTTATGTGCACCAGGAAAGGCGCCCGGTTGTTCTTTGAGTCAAAGTGTCATGGCTGATCCCTGTATGCTTGCTGCAGTTGGGCTATTAGAAACCCCTTAAAAAGCACAAACCCTTAAATCTCACCGGAACCCCATGCACTCTGTCAGTGTCTATGAGTACAAACCTCTGACCACAGTAAAGATGTTGTTACCTTAAATGTAAGTCCTCGGAGAACTTCAGGCAGGCGTATATAAATTCCTTGATTTGACTGTAGATTTTTGGCACAAATTCGGAAAAGGGGAATTTTCTCGGGAAGGGTTGCTGCACACAAAAAAGAGAACATCAGGTACTTGTATGGACATTGGGTGCCATCTTTTTTTTCACATCTGGCCTGTTGGATAAATGCATCTTCACATAAATACCAATCAGTTGCTGAGTCCTTGTGGATTCCCAGGCCCAGGTCATACACACAACCTTGACTTAGCTCCAAGTGCTGCCCACCAGTGGTGCTAGACCCTACCTCCATCACTTAGTGCTGGTTCACACCTGGGCGTTTTGCAGCGCTGATCGAAGCGCTGTAAAACGCTCAAGCAGTGAAATCCCATTAATTCCAAGATCGTGGAAACACGCTGAAAATCGCCCTACGCCCAAAAATACCGGCGGGAAGTTTAAAAAGTAAAAAAAAAAAAACAACCCGAAAAAAAGATAGAGAAAATTAAGGAGGGAAAAAAAAAAAATCATATCGCCAGGGAGGTATAAAAATGAGCGTCGAACGTGAGTGTCACTGAACGAAAAAACGTGCTAAAAAATTTGCTGAAAAACGCACCTATAGTACGCCCAGGTGTGAACCCAGCCTTAACAGTCACACCCAGAGCCTCGACTGGCTACTGAGATGGGTGAGGCGGTAGCACCAGAAGAGTTTTACTTAGGCAGACGTTTTTGGGCTCATGGTACATGCCGCCGAAAACAACTCTGCCGCTCTCCTCCCCGCTGCAGACTCACAGACTGTCAGCAGTCTCTTCTTAGAGGTTGTAAACGGCTGCAGCGATCTGTGTCAGAGGGGACAGACAGCCGATTACAGCCTGTAAGGAGACCGCTGACAGTCTAAGTCTGCAGCGGGGAGGAGAACAGCAGAGTTTATTGCAGCATCGGTTCGGAGAAGAAATTAGTCTGCTTCCCCCCTGGTTCTCCTTCAGGTCCCGATACAGATACTAGAATCTGTGCCGATGCCGAGTATTTGGGCAAGTACTCGTACTCGCCCAAATGCCCTGCTGCCTAGCCCGATACCAGGAAGCCGGGCAGCGCGTCATTACACGCTGCCCGGGCTTCCTGATTGGCCGTGAAGCCGGCTTGTGACGAGAGAGCACGGAGCCGGCTTCACTGCCAATCAGGTAGCCATGCGCCGTGTAATGATGCGGTGCCCAGCTTCCTGATTGGTCGGAAGCTGGCCAATCAGGAAGCCATGCGCCGTGTAATGATGCGGTGCTCGGCTTCCTCATTGCCCAGAAAGCCGGTTCCATGCTTTCTCGTCACCTAGTGATGAGAAGCATGTGGACGGCTTCCCGGCTAATCAGGAAGCCAGGTGGCGAGTCATTTCACGCTGCCTGGCTTCCTGAATGGTACTCGGTATTCGGTAACTGCGAGTACCGGAAAAAAATATCGGTACTCGATACCGAAATACCAGTGTCGGTGCATCCCTACTAATAAGTTTAAAAAAAAAAAAAAGTCCCCTGCAAAACACCCTCACGAAAAAAACCCGGCTCCTAACTTTTTTAGCTGGCTCCTGGATTCAAAGAAAATGTGTCAAGTTCTGGGGTGCAGCACAGCAGACTACAACACGTCATGAAGAATTCCGATGTGATCATTGATGCCGGTTTTACCTTCTCTAACTCCGGGTCCTGGACGGGGAACTGACCCAATATCTTCCTATATTCCGCCTCATCACTCACGGGGATGGGGCTGTAGTTATCTGCATCCAGTATGTTCCTGTATGCAAAAAAAAATCAAAAGAGATTTTATTGTACTTTACTGTTCCTTTCTCTCAGCTCAAATCTATCAGTCTGGTCAAATCAAAACCAAACATTCTACGAGGTCATCCCTGAATAGCAGCCATATCAATGATGTCATGAATCAATAATGACCAAATAAATGGTATTACTTAGAAGATGCAAATCTTGCCAGACAACAGTTCAAGGGACTGTTCATGCCAGCATAGGTTTTTTTACTCATGAGTTCAATCTACCTTTTGCCTTCCATGGTTCCTCCCACCCACCTCAACAACATGCTAATGAAATATTTAAATAAAATCTTTCCGTTTTTATCACATTTTAGTGACATCATCACTGTGTTTCTCTATACAATGCAGGCAGATCATGGCTGGTGGGAGGAGCCGGCAGGGTGCTGTACATAGCTTCCTGAAAACATCACAGCACCTTGCCACAGTACAACTGTGCTCTCAGTCCTGATACAAGCAGTAGGCTGGCTCTTGGGAGAAGTTATGCAAATATCAAAAATACCTTGATGGATGGTTGTCAGTCTGGAGGGGTTGGCGTTCCTAAGCAGGCAGCATTTGCATGCAGACCACCCTAGGTAATGCCTGTATGTGATGCTGAGCCTCCAGGATGGAACGAACTAAAATCCAATGAATGGAAGGGACTGGACAGAGACAATCAGGCTGGTAAAAATAAGGCTAGATGTTGCTGGACGTCTTCCAGCTATATAACTTGCTGCAGCTTCTAATGCACATTATGAGAAGCTGACGGTGTGCAGTGCAATCAGAGGACAGCCATTCCGGTAGGAGAGAGGAGACTGAACAACTGTGCAAGACTGAATGGTAATAGTAATTCTACCATTTGAGGTTGAACAAACCAATTCCCTGCAGCAGAGTAGTATTTCACTTCAGCTATAGGGTAGCTTCAATGCAATTTCAGCATCTTTACTTTTGGCTCTGTACATGATTTCCTCACCAGCTTTTAGGGGCGCCTGGCCGGCACTGATAATGCTTGCCATGCACCCCTGTTACACGTGCAGTGTCCCAGCGATGCTCTATAGAAAAGTTACCACATTAGTATGGGAGATGAGTATTGCAGCAGTACCCACCTGAACACCAGGGCCCACTTCTTCAGTAAGATCTCACTGTACTGATCTCTGACCTCCAGCAACATGTCAAACAGATGGTTCACCGGGAAGCCATAACCCTGTACATAACAGATCAGATGTCATCAAATACAAATCAACATGAATATCCGCTTGGCTAAGGGTTCTGCAGCAGGTTAGGCATTCATGGGTTACCTACAATGGGGGTCAGTTCTTGGTTGGGAGGAAGCAGATGATCCAGGGTTGGTTTTCACTGACTGAACAAACACAGCTCTGCCACCCGGGGCACCACCAGAACCCAGCTCATATTAATTAACCCTAAAGGAGGAATGCACTGTACCGATATTTTTTGTTTTCGGTACTCGCCAATATAGAGTACCGATACCGTTGCTGTGTGCCCCGATTATCAGGCAGAAGGGCGGCGCATCATGATCCGTCACCCGGCTTAATGACCGCCTGGAAAGCCAACGTTCTATCGAAAGAACACCGGCTTCACTTGCCGAAGCTGCCTGACCAACCTGGAAGCCAGGCAGCGGGTCATGAGGTGCCATACAGCTTCCTAGCCAATCATGAAGCTGGATGGCAGATCCTGACCCACCTCCCTGCTTACTGATTGGCTAAGAAGCCGGCTTAAATTGTTGCGGGTCATGATGTGCCGTCCCGCTTCCTGATTGGTTAGGAAGCCAAGTTACCTAGCTACAAGTAAAGCCAGCTTCCTAGCCAACCAGGAATGCCGGGAGGTGGATCATGGTCCCTCAGTACTGCCAGTCAGAAGGAGATCTCCCTCTGACCGGAAGTTCCGGTATCAGAGGCAAGTAGTGGAGCATATGGGCGAGTACTAGTATTGGTGCATCCCTACCCTAAAGCAAAACTTTCTAGCAGTTTCTTGTAACTAAACTTTCCAGCAGTCTTTACTAATCCCTTGAAATGCAGTTGCTGCCTCTGTGATGACAACATACACGTCTAACTTGCCTTTTGTGCTGTGCGAAAATCGGGGCAGTTAAGGTCAGTGAGTCAGAAAATTAAGTCAGGAGCAGCCAGGCACCTAGTATTTGTTGGGGGAGGTCAGCAATGGCAACCTCCAAATGTTTCTCAGTACAGTTTTCATTTTAAGTGAAATTCAATATCTTTCTGGTCTATTGAGGGACAAAGGAAGTCTTTAAAGTGACACTTAACTCAGGAGCTAAATCTTAAAAATACATTCAAATCCCTTAACTATTAACACATGTACATGTATTAGACATATATCTTATTTTGTGTATCACTCCGCTGTAGAATCATCTCTGAATTGGTGCAGATATTGTCCTTCCTTCTGGAGGAGGCTACTTTTGTTCCCCATGGTCCCTGTGTGTGTTGTAAAGTAGTCACCGCTCCAACCTCGCTTCTGTGATGGACTACAATCTCAATACAAATTAGTAAACTAAACGTGAGTTTGTAGTCCATCATGGGGGAAAGCTTGGGGTGGTGACTACTTGGGGTGGTGACACTCTGTCCAGCTTCCCGCCAAGCTCATTGACATCACTGGTTGCCAGGAGCTGAGCTTGCGTCCCACCTGGCTCCTGGCAACCAGTGATGTCAATGAGCAGGTGGAGTGTTAGATACACTTGTAATAAAGGTTTAGAAGTGCAACTTACCTGCAATGTGTCAGCAAAATGCACAATGAGATTCTTCAGGTCCAGAACAAGGTTAGGATCGGAACAATATGACTGAAAGAAAAAGAAGAAAAGAAAATGAGACTGAGGGATGGCATATGAAGTCAGCCAAGAACACTTCTAATAATAATATATATATATATAGTGTGTGTACACTCACACACACACACGGGGGGGGGGAATTTATCAAAACTGGAGCAGACACAATATGGAGCAGTTTCCCATGGCAACCTATCAGCTTCTCTCTTCAGTTTGCTCAGGTAAGATTTGAAAATGAGAGAGAGAAGCTGATTGGTTGCAGTGCAAATCTGCTCCAGTTGTGATAAATTCCCATCACAGTGTATACAGTAAAGTCCCTGTTATCCGGCATCCACAGGGATTGGTAGATTCGGGATAAATGTAGTTTCTGGTTGCCTGAGAGTTACTATTAAAAATAGATCTAAGTAATGCCAAACCCCAAACTATACCATAACATAGACTCTGTATTGACTTCATATTAATATTGAAATGCAGTATTCAAAACACACACACGCTGTATATACACACATACAACTATAAATAATATTTCTATGACATAACCTTGTAGAACGATCCGGGGACTTATCCAAAATTTTAGCATCCACAAAACAATAAATGTGGGGGTCAATTACCGAATGTGTTCGTAGCGCCGCCATGGTCTTCGACAGCGCCAAATCCCACAGCTCATCGATGTACGCCCGATTCACCAATCCAACTGTCGTATGTAGGATGTGATCTTCTACCACAAAGAATCTGACAGACACCAAAACATACACGTAAGTATTTGAGGACAGAAAGATGTAGGAAATCAGCCCGAAGACTTTCTCACTGCATATTTCGACTCTTGAAGTGTATATTGAAGGGTACGTATAGTCAAAAACGAAAAATAAATCCGTAGTTCCATACTGAATTTCTATAAGTTCTCTCCCGCTCCTAATAACCAGATCCATCTAGACGTTTACTTACTTATTGAAGAAGCCCATAGGATGGATGTCCTCAATGCACCGACACAATGTCACTCAGCCCTGTGAATATGCACTTCCACATCTGAACAATGTATCATCATTGCGTGCTGGAAGCAATGCATGATGGGATATGTAGTGTTGATAAATTGAGATTGCGACACATCAAGCAGCAGGGAAAGAGATGCAAAGCACTCTGGGAATCCAGGAAGTTGTTGGAAGTGATGGGAAGACGGAAAGCAGCGCTCACTACATAAAAGGGACTTTTTCAAGTAAGACAACTCCAGTATGTATTCCTATCACAATGCCGATATTATAACTACGGATGCGCCAAAACGTTTTTTCAGTATCAAGTACCGATATTTGGGTTTCGTTACTCGCCGATACCGAGTACCAATACAGGTACTTCCGCTGGAATGGAGCCGGCTTCCCGAGCAATCAGGAAGCTGGGCAGCAGGTAATGACATGCCACCTGGCTTCCTGATTGCCCTGGGAAGCCGGCTCCATGATGTTTGGTCGGCTAGATTGTGATTGGCTGAGAAACCGGCTTTCCAGCCAATCAGCATTGAGCCAGCTTCCTGTCCAATCAGGAAGCCGGGCAGCAAGTAATGACAGCAGGCTGTTTGGCTGGCTCGATGCTGATTGGCCAAGAAGCCGGTTTCCCAGCCAATCAGCATGGAGCTGGCTTCCCCGGCCAATCAGGAAGCCGGGAGGCAGGTCAATATTTGCAGCCCGCCGTCCTGATTGCCCAGGAAGCCGGTTCCATGTTCCCCTTATGGCACTGCCAGTCAGAGGAAATCTTCTTCTGATCTCATGTTCCGGTATCGGAGCACTTGGGTGAGTATGAGTACTTGCCCAAATACTCGTTATCGGTGCATCCCTAATTATAACAGGAGAGTATATGCTGGGACATAACACAGAGTCCATCGGGAGAAGGTGGCCCCTTTATCTGGCATTGTAATGTCCATGGCAGTTGGATGCAACTACAATTCTGGGGAGGAGATCTGAAAACCTGATTCATACAGTATTTGGCCAAAAGTTTCTGGACATCTGACAATCTCCCCTACAGTGCATGAGCTTGTTGAACATACCATTCAAAAACCATGGCCATTAATGGGGAGTAATCAACCACCCCTTGTGTCTGACAGAATTTGTGCCCATTCAGTCCAAACTGGTGAGGTCAGGTACTGATGTTGAATGTGAAGACCTCTGCATTTGCAACTGGTGTTTCAGTTCATCCCAAAGGTGTTCAGTAGGGTTGAGGTCAAATTCTTACAGAGCTGGCACACATTTTGTCATTTAGGTCGGTGTTATGGTCATCTGCTCACAAACGTTTGGCCATATAGGTAGGTGTGATGGTTATGTGTTCACAAACATCTGGCCATATAGTAGGTGTTATGGTCATCTGCTCACAAACGTTTGGCCATATAGGTAGGGGTGATGGTCATGTGTTCACAAACATTTGGCCATATAGTAGGAGTGATGGTCATGTGTTCACAAACATTTGGCCATATAGTAGGAGTGATGGTCATGTGTTCACAAACATTTGGCCATATAGTAGGAGTGATGGTCATGTGTTCACAAACATTTGGCCATATAGTAGGAGTGATGGTCATGTGTTCACAAACATTTGGCCATATAGTAGGAGTGATGGTCATGTGTTCACAAACATTTGGCCATATAGTAGGAGTGATGGTCATGTGTTCACAAACATTTGGCCATATAGTAGGAGTGATGGTCATGTGTTCACAAACATTTGGCCATATAGTAGGAGTGATGGTCATGTGTTCACAAACATTTGGCCATATAGTAGGAGTGATGGTCATGTGTTCACAAACATTTGGCCATATAGTAGGAGTGATGGTCATGTGTTCACAAACATTTGGCCATATAGTAGGAGTGATGGTCATGTGTTCACAAACATTTGGCCATATAGTAGGAGTGATGGTCATGTGTTCACAAACATTTGGCCATATAGTAGGAGTGATGGTCATGTGTTCACAAACATTTGGCCATATAGTAGGAGTGATGGTCATGTGTTCACAAACATTTGGCCATATAGTAGGAGTGATGGTCATGTGTTCACAAACATTTGGCCATATAGTAGGAGTGATGGTCATGTGTTCACAAACATTTGGCCATATAGTAGGAGTGATGGTCATGTGTTCACAAACATTTGGCCATATAGTAGGAGTGATGGTCATGTGTTCACAAACATTTGGCCATATAGTAGGAGTGATGGTCATGTGTTCACAAACATTTGGCCATATAGTAGGAGTGATGGTCATGTGTTCACAAACATTTGGCCATATAGTAGGAGTGATGGTCATGTGTTCACAAACATTTGGCCATATAGTAGGAGTGATGGTCATGTGTTCACAAACATTTGGCCATATAGTAGGAGTGATGGTCATGTGTTCACAAACATTTGGCCATATAGTAGGAGTGATGGTCATGTGTTCACAAACATTTGGCCATATAGTAGGAGTGATGGTCATGTGTTCACAAACATTTGGCCATATAGTAGGAGTGATGGTCATGTGTTCACAAACATTTGGCCATATAGTAGGAGTGATGGTCATGTGTTCACAAACATTTGGCCATATAGTAGGAGTGATGGTCATGTGTTCACAAACATTTGGCCATATAGTAGGAGTGATGGTCATGTGTTCACAAACATTTGGCCATATAGTAGGAGTGATGGTCATGTGTTCACAAACATTTGGCCATATAGTAGGAGTGATGGTCATGTGTTCACAAACATTTGGCCATATAGTAGGAGTGATGGTCATGTGTTCACAAACATTTGGCCATATAGTAGGAGTGATGGTCATGTGTTCACAAACATTTGGCCATATAGTAGGAGTGATGGTCATGTGTTCACAAACATTTGGCCATATAGTAGGAGTGATGGTCATGTGTTCACAAACATTTGGCCATATAGTAGGAGTGATGGTCATGTGTTCACAAACATTTGGCCATATAGTAGGAGTGATGGTCATGTGTTCACAAACATTTGGCCATATAGTAGGAGTGATGGTCATGTGTTCACAAACATTTGGCCATATAGTAGGAGTGATGGTCATGTGTTCACAAACATTTGGCCATATAGTAGGAGTGATGGTCATGTGTTCACAAACATTTGGCCATATAGTAGGAGTGATGGTCATGTGTTCACAAACATTTGGCCATATAGTAGGAGTGATGGTCATGTGTTCACAAACGTTTGGCCATATAGTAGGTGTGATGGTCATGTATTCTTTTGGCCATATAGTGTATAAGAAATCCGTATGTGACTCCGTTAGCAACTGCACAAGACCGATGCTTTATGTTTTTTTAGGTGGATTTAGCTTTTAACCCTTTACAAAAACAGAGCATTAAAACTCATTAGCACAGCCACAGTGGCCCCACAGAGTCTGCAGCGGAGAGAGGGAGATACGGTTGAAAGGCAGTGCAAAGGGCAATACCTGACTCTGAGACGCATCAACATGAAGGATTGTTTAACGAAGAAACATGCGTTTAATTAGCCGGCAATTACAATGTTATTATAACCTATCTGCTGAAATCAAGTCTGGAGCATTGCAGCTTTGATTGGGAATAGCAGGATGGCAGTCAGGAAGAAAACACGCAGTGTGTGTGTAGTAACATGACCCCGGTGATCACGGAGAGCCGGTGCGGCATGCGGCCCTTTGCCGTGTGCAGGCGGCTTGCACATGGCGTTCCAGGTATGTAGCGGATATATGACACAGGCCTGCCATACAGCTTTTATATGTGTGATAGGGATCAACTGACTTCTGCCTGGTGCATGGATATTAAATAATTGGAGGGGGCCAAAAAACACTGTCAGGGTTACCAAAGCTATTAAGGAAAAACGACAAACCTCTTCCCAGCTTAATTCACAAATTATCTTCTCCAAATTACATGAAATAAAAAGGAAACGGCTGCTGATTTTCAGTGATTAGCATTCTCAGACACAGTTCCCTGTGGCGGCAGGACATTCATTGACCTTCCACTTCAGAACTACCCTGTTTCCCCGAAAATAAGACCTAGTACTATTTTTGGGAATTGCTAAAATATAAGACCTACCCCGAAAATAAGACCTAGTTGTGACCATTCCCCGGGCCGGTGGTGGCATAAGGGGGAACTTGAAGAGCCGCGAGAGAGGCGGGAGAGAATCAGCGGTGCCAACGAAGCCAGCGCTAGAGGAAGCGAGGCGACACCGGAGGGAGCAGAGCCGCATAAGCCGATGTCTCCTCTATAGCGCGGGCTCCTGTCAGAGGCGGAGTGATACCAAATGCACTCCGCCTGTGAGGAATCCATAGTGAAAATTCGCTTCACTCATTCTGGCCAGCGATTGGTTACCAAATTGCTCTTGGAAAGGTACGGCACCCATGATTGCCCTGATCACCATATTTTTGTACATGAATACATATAGACTTGTCTACCTACCCTGAAAATAAGACCTAGTGTGTTTTTTTGAGCCAAAAAAAAAATATAAGACAGTGTCTTATTTTTGGGGAAACACGGTAGCAGTGCATGCACCTAGTTCTATGACTGCACGGTCACTGACAGCTGCAGGTCTCAGACTAGCGGTCAGCAACCAATCAGTGTGTTTCCTGGTCATGTGATCACATAAGGTTGTTTCAAAGAAAAACTTCTCCTGGCTGAAGACGGCACTGCGCCTTGCTGGCTGTGCACAGGGAAAGACATACAGTGATGAAAAGCATTACAGCGTGTTTAAAATATCATGCATTTACAAAGTTTAAAGAAGCTGTAAAGTCCCAGCATGTCCTCACCTGCTATCACATCAGCTATAATACATACCAGAATAGCTTGTGATAATGCAATCAAAGCTTACTTTTCCCTTTTATATAGTGAGTGCTGCCTTCCGTCTGCCCATCACTTCCAAAAACTTCCTGGATTCCCAGTTTGCTTTGCTTCTCTTTCCCTGCTGCCTGATATGATGCAACCTCCATTTTTCAAGGCTACATGTCCCATCATGCATTGCTTCCGGCAAGCAATGATGCTGTTACATTGTTCAGACGTTGAGTTGTAGTTCAGAAGGCACAAGGAAGTGCATATTTGCAGAGTGATATAGTGTCAGGGCATTGAGGAAGTGCATCCTAGGGGCATCTTCAATAAGTAAGAGATTGATATGGTTATTAGGGAGTGGGATAGATTTCTGCCCCTTACAGAAGTGGAGCTTGCGTTGGGTGGGTTTATCCTGCTGCTTGCGAGTGATGCCAGTGTAAGGTGAACACCAGAGATAAACTACAAGTCCCACGTTTCCGTGCACCATGTGCAAATTGGATGCGTTCTATAGGCACCCAGGAGCTTGGAATGCTGTATGCAGAGACAGCTCGCCCAGAACAAAAGTGGGTGGGGCCTGCAACCCATGGTCCTCCAGAGGGTATTGTTCACACCACCTTCCCAGGATTTGCACGTTGTACTATAGTCCTCGCAGATACAGCTGACACCCCTGCTCGGAGAGCGGTTACAAGCACTCAACGATCAGCTATTCACTGAGTGCTTGTAAATAATTGAGGACATAGTATGTTTACTGTGTCCCCAATTATGGATGAACAGGAAGCGCTCTACATCACTTCCCATTCATTCATGATTGGTGACATGGTAAACATACTATATCCACAGGTTATGAATGGATAGGGGCACTCAGTATAGTGGATTCCTGTTCATTCTCTTCCTCAATCTATTTTTCTATTTTAAAAAGGAAATATTAGAGGTCTGTTTAGACGCCTGATATTTCCCAGGGCCTCCAACAGTACATTTCAGTTTCAGTTTCGGTCTGAAAACCCCATTTCGGTGCACCTCTAGTGACAATGTCTACACCAAGAAAAATGTCCGTGTGCAATATGGGAGAATGCAAATGAAAATCTGATTGGCTATCGTAGAGAATTAGAGACGGTCTGAGGAAAACGATTTCCCACCCCAGTGTCAGGACAACTTACCCCACTATTTGATAGAAGTATTTCCGATATCCTTCCAAAGTCTCATGCTGGAAGAGAGAAGACGAGAATGTAAACCACAGCGATGGATACATGACTGCTGCACTGTGCACCATGTTAAAGGGTCAGCCTGCTCTACATATTTCCGCTATAGGTGGAGGTTGGTAGAATAAGTTTCCCCTCACCTTCTAATATATCCTGGGGGGTCCGATGGTGAGATCTCTTGGCCTTAGTCTATGTAAAACTCGGAGGGCTGGGCCTTAATATACAGTAGAATACATAAAAACCCATCTGGGATGGTGGGAGCCCCTCATAATGGGCAAAACAGTTGTGCAGACCTGGGAACTCAGTGCAGGGATGGTGGGGGCTCCTCATGATGGGCACAGCAGATGTACAGACCCGGGAACTCAGTGCAGGGATGGTGGGAGCTCCTCATGATGGGCACAGCAGATGTACAGACCCGGGAACTCAGTGCAGGGATGGTGGGAGCTCCTCATAATGGGTAAAACAGGTGTGCAGACCCAGGAACTCAGCACAGGGATGGTGGGAACCTCTCATAATGGGCACAGCGGGTGTACAGACCCGGGAACTCAGCACAGGGATGGTGGGAGCCCCTCATAATGGGCAAAACAGTTTAGCAGACCCGGGAACTCAGTGCAGGGATGGTGGGGGGCCTTCATAAATGGCAAAGCAGGTGTACAGACCCAGGAACTCAGTGCAGGGATAGTGGGGGCCCCCCATAATGGACACAGCAGATGTACAGACCCCTCTATCATTCCACATAGCTCACACAGTATTGGACACCCCTCAAGCAATCCAAAGAAGGTACCATGTTGGACGGTGGCTGGAGTACAAGTCTGGCTTGCTTTCTCCTCTGTTTCCGGTAATAGTTCTCGAAGACCTCTCTGGAACCCTGAGACAAGAAGACAAGATCATTGCAAACAGCAACCAAGTATCGGGATCGGGATATGATAAAGATAAGATTGCTGCAGTGATTTATTCAGATTTATAAGATTACTGCAGTGAACAGCTCTGAACTTCCTGGCCAATCATCCCCCCTTCTTATAAAAGAGAACCTGTCATTAACATTCCAAGTCTGTATGAATACATTCCTGACATGCCACAATATTTGTTTGTAAAAAGCCATCCTTAAGCTGCAACCCAGTGACTGTGGCTAGGCTGAGATGATGTCATCACTCTGCTGCAGGCAGGAGGAAGCATTTCTTCAGGGTTTTTTTATGGGGGGGGAGGGGGAGGGTTGCAATCGCCCAAACCAACACCACATACAGATCCCCACTCCCCCCACCCAACCCCCAGTTTAGTGCTGGTGGAAGTCATCACTAAATAAGCAGACCCTGCTTGGAGTGCACTTTAAGGCCCCATTCAAACTTGCCCTGCAGTGTTTTTGCACATCTGTTGCACCACGTCTGCATAGGGAGGTAGCCTTTTGCAGACGTACAACAGATGTGCAAAAACACTGCAGGGCAAGTTTGAATGGGGCCTTAAAGCGCACTCCAAGCAGGGTCTGCTTATTTAGTTCATTCATTTCAATGGCTTGCCCTACATACGTCAAAAGAAGTTAATGCAGCCGCTTCACCTGCAAGCTCTGCCTCCAACCAAAACCGTACACAGCCCATATAATGTCAGCAAAAGGAGAATGAACTTTCCTCTGCCAATATAACTTTTTTTTTTTAATTCCGTTCATTTTGGCAGCAAAATTTTAAACTTAAACCCTTACGGAGTATCAGAGGCGAGGTGAAACCAAAAGCAATTATATCACAGGCAAGCAGAGCTCATTGGCGTTTGCCCGGAGCCTCCCGGGTCTACCAAGAGAAAGGTAAAGTAAAAGAAGGACTGCAACCATTAGTCCTCTCCAGAGGACACGGAGCTTGTAACTCAATCTGCCCCATGTCTCCTTCGAGGTCACGGGGTCACACGAGCACTTAGTAGGACAACATAACAAGTTCACAGCCCTGGTGTCCTCCAGGGAACAGTAGCCGTCCCATTAGCACGTAGCCGACTGCCGGTTATCAAAGGCCATTGCCCTTCTAATGGTTTTTTTCCTGTGTCCTTATCTCTGCTTAGCACAAGGTATCTGAGCCAGGCCTGTCCTCTATGATCTCACGCTGGTGTTTACAGGCATGGAGCGGAGCAGGAGATGGGCAGATAGACTCAGGGGCCACATCTGGTATCCATCACCCCCTGAGAGCAGCTGAAAAACAGCGAGGACTGGGCAGATACTTCTCTGCTGATGACCGAATGTGACTCGAATGACTCTCAGCATGAATGGTATATAGCTAAACAGATCATAGAGGAGCACACAAGGCGTTCTGGTTGTTTCTTACAGCACAGATTTCCTCGGTTGCCAATCTGTGCACCCCTGAGAGAACTTCACACAGGTACAGATAACCAGCCCCAAACATTAATCACCCCCAAGCTGTTCTCTTATACCACCAAAGCAGGACTACAAAAACTTTGGCACCACACCCGATTTCTCAATATATACTTTAAACCTTCCTTTCAGTCTTGCACGGTTGTAGCGGCTCCTCTCCTGGACTGACATGGCTTCCTCTGATATCACTGCACACTGCGAGCTTCTCCCAATGTGCATTAGAAGCTGCAAGTCAGATAGATCATTTCCTAGATGTCCAGAATCATCTAGCTCTTTCCTCCGCAGCCTGACTGTCCCCTAGCCCGCCCCTTTCATTCATTGGATTTCAATTCTTTTAATCATGGAGGTCCAGCATTACATGCGGGCATTACCTAGGGTGCTCTGCATGCAAACGCTGCCTTGCCTGGGAAGGAAGGCCACTCCTCTAGCCTGACGTCAGCCCATCAAGGCATTTTGATATTTGCATAACTCCTCCCTATGGTCACTCCTGCTTGCATTAGGGCTGAGGACTCTTGAGAGGAATACTGAGGCAAGGTGCTGTGATGTTTTCAGGAAGCTATGTACAGCATCCTGCTGGCCCCTCCTACTAGCCATGATCTGCCTGCACTGCATAGAGAAGCACCCACAAGTGCCACTGGGTATGGAATAAGGTAGGTAATGAAAATGGAAAGGCTAACAACCCCCCTATGTGATAGCTGATTTGCAGTGACAGGTCCTCTTTATGGAGACATCAGTGGTCTTTAAGACCCCTAATGTCACCTAGGGACCCCCAGATAATCTGATGAAGCAGATATATGCTTCACCAGCTTCTCTCCCGCTTCTGTACCGGGGAGTGACAGATGAATGTGGAAGTGATGTAATATACATCACTTCCTGCATTCGGGAACTGGAGAGGAGATCAATGGGAGATCATGTACTGATCTCCCTTTGATGTCCGGTCACAGAGCTGCTGTGCTGCTACCGGGCTCACAACGGGCACAGCGAAGCCTCCGGCGGCTGCGACAGAGGGGGCGCAGACCCGCATGCATATTACAAGCGATCAGGTGTCTCTACAGACACCCGAACACTTTTATGTAAACAGCCATCGCTGCCCGTTTACATTACAAGCTGATTGTGGCGGGCACAAGCAGGACGGGAAGGGACGTTTAAAAACACCCACCCACATCCAAGAAGCCACTGCCCTGCCGTTTAATTACAATGGCCGGACAGCAGGAGGTTAAGCACCGTTTATGTAAAACAACTTTTTCCTCTCCCGTAGGCTTAAATGACCACCTAACCCTTGTGGTGCAGGGGCAGCTTCACTACAAAAGAAAACGTTTTATTTCCTTGGAGTTGGGCTTTAAAAGAAAACTAAAGCTAAACCTTTTTTTTGGGCTATAGTTCTCTTTTGGGTCACAGGAGGACATTTACTATGTCCTCCTGTGAGCCAAAGTAAGCATGTAGTGGGCTACTGCCTGCTATGTGCTGACAGTGCAGAACCGCGCTGCAGCCGGGACTGATCCCGACAATATTGTCAGGATTCATCCAGCTGCCTTGATTGACAGCTGGCTCTGCCTCTCTAGAGCCAGAGCAAGCTGTACCCGCCCCCTCCCCTGTCTGTCCCTCCAATGAGCGCTGGAGGAGCGGTGAGGGGAGAATCTCTGCAGGGAGTGGTGACTGACAGTCACTGCTCTCTGCAGGGAGATGACCGTGAGTTGAGCGATCAGCAGTTTGTGATCGCTCAGATCTCGATCTATAGAGTTGGCATGTGACACCTGCACACTGACTAAGCATTGGGAAGAATATATTTTACTCTCCCAATACTTTGCCATTAAGAAAGGCGATTGACGATCGATGTCGGACTCCATTGCATTTAGTTATCTTAATGAAGGGTGTGTGGTTTACAATTCAATCATCTCAGTCACATCGAATGATCCATTGAATGTTCATATCGATTGTATTCTAAGTGCCCTGTTCACACTATACCCATGTGGCGGTGTGCAGAAGAATGCAACTCAATGGACATTTGAAGCTGAACTTCAAGTTGGGCAGAGATATTTAAGTCTCAGAACCGGATGGACAGAATTACAGGTATAGATTTCCCAAACACAGTCATGGCCAAAAATATTGGCACCCCTGCATTTCTGTCAGATAATGCATCACTTTGCGCAGAAAATTGTTGCAATGACAAATGTTTCGGCATTCTAATGTTTATGTCTTTTGTTTGTATTGGTACGACACAAAATTTACAGCTTTTTGACAAAACAAAACAGCTTTTTGGTGCAGCCCATCATTCTACCGTTTTCCGAAAAAGAAACGAGGCCTTTAAAAGAAAAAAATCCAGTCCCTACAATCACACATGGTGGGGGGTCACTGATGTTTTGGGGTTTCTTTGCTGCTTCGGGCACTGGATGTCTTGACTGTGTGCATGACATTATGAAATCTGAAGAATACCAAAGAATTCTGGGGTGCAATGTAGGTCCCAGTGTCAGAATGTTGGGTCTCCGTCAGAGGTCATGGGTCTTACAGAAGGACAATGACCCAAAGCACACGTCATAAAGCACCCAGAAATTGTTTCAGACAAAGCGCTGGAGAGTACTGGACTGGCCAGCAATGAGTCCAGATCTGAACCCCATAAAGCTCCTGTGGAGAGATGTCAGTACAGCAGTTGGGAAAAGGAACCTTCCAATCTGAGAGACCCGGAGCAGTTGGTGAAAGAAGAGTGCTCCAAAATTCCTGTAGAGAGGTGTAAGAAACTCATTGATGGTTACAGGAAGCCATTGATTTCAGTTATTTTTTCCAAGGGCTTTGCTACCAAATATTAATTGAGGGTGCCGATAATTTTGTCCAGTCCATTTTTGGAGTTTTGCGTAAAATGTGTCAGATTTGGCTTTTTCCGTCATGTTTTCGTGTCATACCAATACAAATAAAATAAATAAACATGAGAATGCCAAAACATTTGTAAGTGCAACAATGTTCTGTGCAAAGTGGTGCATTATAATGATAGTGATAATTATCTGAGAGAAATGCAGGGGTGCCAATATATTTGGCCATGACTGTCTGTATTTAACTGTTTTCCCGAAGTTCAGTTGTAATGGACAGAGACAGGGATTTCCCAGCACAATGGGAGACAGGTACTCGCACCCACCTGCCAGCAAACATTGGCCTACTCTCGGCAGCTTCAAGTTCAGCAGCCACAGTGCTCCATTAACCCAGGCCTGACCTCCCCCTCTCCTCGTGCTTTCCCTCGCTAACCTTCCTGGCAGAGTTCAGGGTTTCCTGAAGAAGTCTGCGGGGCCGGCTGTGTGATAATGTGCAGTGTTTCTTATTTACAGGTGCCTGGAGTCTGACCGCCACATGACCCCCTCCTCTGTACAATATATGAACTTCTGCCCCATCGATAAGCTTGCCAGACCCCGGCCAGAAACACAGAGGTGACTACGAGGTCGGTTACAAAGATAAAAAAAATTAAAAACAATAATAAATAATATGTAAATGTTGCATGAGGCCCTTTTCAGTCGCAGGGCAAAAGTTCAAATGGT